CACTCAGTGAAATAGTTCAGGGAAATCAATAATATTATATCATTAATAATATTATTATGATCTGAATAGAAACATACCATCTCCGCTCATAATCTACCTAATAGGTTACTATAATCATTTCCAAATTAACCATATCAAAATATCCATTAGGTACTTATAACGCGTTATACATCAACAACAAACCCTGATACTATCATAGATATATAAAATAGTGTACTTTAGAAGTTTCAAGTACCCACGAATAATATTATACACTAACAACAAAATAGCTAAAATAATTATTCTAGGTTTTTTATTATGTAATTTCGTCCAAATTTAAACTTAAAAGGACTATAAAAATAAACTGTCCTTGTAAAATGATCCTTACATCATTGTAAAATCAATACATTCATCGTTCCACTAGGAATCTAAAACTTTAAGAAGCTTAAAATTATGTAATAATATAATAGCCATAAGGTCTAGAGTCTAGACGATTTTAAGATGAGTCTTAATACATTTTAATTCTTTTTTTAAAGCTCTTAGGCTTCTTTTATACATTCATCGATCGATGATCATGAATCATGATTAACAGTTTACAGCAGCAGTCCCCACTAGGATTTTGGAAAGGACCAAATATTATTTTTGAAAATTACTTGCAGGCCGCATGCAATATAAAAATTTTAATTTGTGCATAATATTGACAAATGGCATATTTTTATTCTTTGGGACCCGGGTGTAAGGATTCTTAGTTCCTAGTTACATTTTGAACGATAATAATTATAAGTTAGAAAAATTGAAAAAATTAATATAATTATTTTATTTACTCGAGCGTAGAATTTTGGATTTTGGTATGTAAAATTCTGTTTTAGTGTGGGCCACACAAAATTTGTTAAAGGGACACATGCAGCCCTCGTAGTGAGGACCACTGGTTTACAGAGTCCTATGTAGTATCTATGTGATATGTCTAAGAATCAGAACAGAAACATGATAGAATGAGTTTTAAGATTTAAAATTAAAAATTATAATTTAAAACAAGCTGATCCCAAGCATCAGAATTTCAAGTTTCATAATGGGGTTGCTGAGGTTAAAACACACAGGAAAATTTTTTTAAATTCGATAAAAAGTTCAGTTTTACGCCGGTACAATTGTTTATTGCTAAGAACCTTGATGGTGGGTCATGAGTGGTTTTACTTCCCCTACACACCACAAAACATATATGTATCATAATTCCATGGCTAATAGAAGAATACTACTGCCAATTCTTATATTTCCGTAAAATTAATTTTTCATAAAGTTAGATTTAATGATGGAAATATGATATTACTCAAAGAGGGAATCAAAGTATCGAAGATTAATGGAAAGTAAGTGTATGATACACTGTGTATCATATATTTAAAAAAATTGTAACAGTAAACATCTTTTGTACCTAATTGTTTTTTTTTACACATTCGGTCGAAAGAATGGATAAAAATTAAAAACTACAATTTTATATACAACTGGACTACCCTCTGGCATACCAATTATAGATGTTACCATGTTGTTCTATGATACCATGATATTGGTCAGTATATATTTGACTTCAGTGTGTTTTGTGTAAATGAAAAAACAGTAATTATTTGGCCAGTTTTCTTTAAATAGCACAACAAACCAGTTAAACACAATACTTGTTGTCATAAAATTAAAAAAAAATAATTTATAATATAAAATAGTAAAAATAAAGTAAAAACTAAAATGGTAGGGCAGTTAACATGTTTTAAAATTTGGTCAATGAAACAATAGAAGCTTAAAATTATGTATAAGCTTATTAACGTAGGAAAACAAAATGTATTAAGAGTAACTTAATAAAAACTATGGTCAAATTTTTAAGGCGTCCATAAAAGAGAATTTTAAATAACTAAATTGAGTAAATTCTATTGGTTTAACACAAGTATTAGAAATAACTTAACTTAATAAATAAATTACTTGATAAACAACCATAATATTTTAAGGACGCCCCATATTATTATTATTTTATACATTACACATTTAATTCAAAATTATGTATATGCGTGTGTAAATATTATATATTAAAAAATGTCTTTTTTTTTAACAAAACATATATTTGTCATACACTTAGACTAATTTATTAATTATTATGATAAATTAATGAGTAGTTGTGAAACGAAATAATTTTAAGTAGGTAATATTTTGTTCAAGTGTTACATAAATATTAGGAAGATATTTTATAATTATATAAATATTTTTCTGTTCTATATAAATAAAATATTTGGTGGGAAAAATATCAAGCAAACAAAGGCAGATGGTATAAAAAAATATACATGATATATAATCAATAGTCATAATAAAATAATGAGCAAAAATAAAATTAAGAAAACATTATGTCAAATAAAAAAATTAAACTTTTACTAATTTTTCCAATTTATTTTTACTAACAAATTGTAGAAGGTATATTATTACTATTAAAAGAAAAACTCACCCTAAGAACAAAAAGTGACACTATAAATAATTAACTTGATTCTAGATTCATAATTCAGGAACTTTATAAAGATGTATCATAATATAATATGTGCAATCTTGATATAACATGAGATACATAAGTCATAGAAATTTAAAAAAAAAAAATGCTTAGAGTAAGGAATGAAAAAAATATATAATATATAAATGTCAAATTATAATCTGCCTTTGTTTGTGATCAGCACCTCTCACAGGGTGATTGTACAACTATAAAGTTTTATTTATATTCAATCACTTTGGTTCCATTCGGTTATATACAAAAAAAAAAAATAATAATAATACATAAATAAATTTAATAGTTTCTAACCACGATGATAAGAATACCGAATATTTCGGACTGACATTATCAACTTTTTGGTTTAGGGCTGCCAAACTTACTTGACAACTAAAAAAAAAATATATATAAATTAATCATATATTTTATTTATATAGTTTATATTATATACAGTTTATAAATACAGTAGACATTATAAAGCGTTTAGTACCCTAATCATGAATTTTTGTATTCTGTATTAAACATAATCGGATCTTAGTTAAGGGGATTCCCCCTGGTGATTTTTTGTCTGTCCAACACATGGGTGACATAGTATTTTAAACGTGATCTATGCCAAACATAGCAATTGAATCTAATGAAGCTATAAGAATTCTGAAAATGATTTGAATTTGTTGTCAAGTCTACTTGAAATTAACTATCCCACATTTTTAATATTATTCCCCAAATACCTATAAATATTATATTAAAAAAATGAGTAATTAAAAAATTATAATATTTAAATTTTTGGAGAAGTTAAATTCAACAATTTAGGATAGTCAATATCAAGTAGACTTTGCGACAAATTCAAAACTGTTTTTAGAATTCTTATTGCTTCATTAAATCAATTGGAATGTTTGGCAAAAAACACATTTTTTTACCTAAATTTGAAAACCAGAGTAAAAATGAAAAACATTTATAAAAAAGAAATTTTAGTTTCATCGTCTTTACTTATACTTTATAATTATTTTATTTTCTATAGAATAACAAATATACATATAGTATGTAAGTATTATTTTATTTTACAGCCGTAATGCAAAAATCTTAGAAAATTATGTGTTCCATGATTCGGAAAAAATTAAGAACCACTGCCTTTACCACACAAAGGTCCAAAAAAATTGTCCGAAATAGTAATTTTTGATAGGTCAATCTCATTATTTTATTGTATAAATATCTGAACTATTTAATTTAGTCCCAAATTAAATTTATCTCTGGAAAATTATTCAAGTAATTTTTATTTATTAAATTCATTTATATAAGTAAGAAACAATAGTCATGACAGCATTTAGTTGCAAGTACCTTAATAATATTTTTTTTAGTCTGTTGATTCAACTATACCCCATTTAAGTTAAGAAACATAGTCAGCCTGGACTAGTTTTCGTCAAACCGCAGTTAGGCAACACCTGTTTGCTGTCCCTACCAAGCCAATTATCTGTATACCTGCCATGTAGTATTGTCACGTCCCTGCGCACAAGTCGGCCACCAACTACGTTTCATAACTTGATCAGAGTATACTGGGTGATTCTTTTATCAAACAACACTCATTATTTCAAAAAGTGTAAATTTTTTTGAAGATATTTTATTACATAGTTTCAAGTCGCTTATAAAACAACGTTTTTATTAAAAAATTATTTTTTTAATTATTTTTTATCCTTATAATTTTTTAAGTTTTTTACTTTTTTGAATGACAACATAGGGTTTTAATTTTATATTCTTAAGTAGAATATTTTTCTTAGTATTTTGATACATGAAAATTGAATTTGGGGCGAGTAGTTTATGAGTTATAAGTAATTAAAGTTTAGACGAGCGGTGAAGAGGACAAACATTTCGAGGGGTAACCCCGAACCACTCCACTCCGCTCGTCTAAACTTTAAATACTTATAACTCATAAACTACTCAACCCAAATTCGATTTTCATGTATCAAAATACTAAGAAAAATATTCTGCTTTGGAATATAAAATTAAAACCCTATGTTGCTATTCAAAAAAGTAAAAAACTTAAAAAATTATAAGGATAAAAAATATTTAAAAATATAATTTTTTAATAAAAACGTTGTTTTATAAGTGACTTGAAACTATGTAAAAAATATTTTCAAAAAAATTTACACTTTTTGAAATAATGAGTGTTGTTTGATAAAAGAATCACGCTGTATAATGTTTCAACTGTCAATTTCAGAATTAAAAATGAATTGAAATTTGAATGGAAATAGTTGTTGGAAAATAATAAAATTGTACTAGCCAGTAATACAGGCTATACAGCAGATATAGTATAAAAATAAAATGAAAATAGGTTAAGTTGATGGTAAAACATGATTGCTTTACAGATTAACATATCAACCAAAAGATTCAGTATGTTAAATCAAGTTACCTACATTTTTTATTCAATTTCAGTTAAATTTTCTAACTTAAAATTGTTGAATCTACCTCCAATAAGAATTAAAATTAAAAATGGTTTTGATGCATAATAAACTTACTATCACACTTTATGCTGTGGCTGATGCCTCATTGGAAATGCATTACGGCGATCTGAATGACCGTGTGCAGGAGGTGCAGAAGCTGTAAAATAATAAAAAAAACTTTCTCAACTGCAAAGAAAAACATTCAAATATAATATATAGTCTTTGGTAGTTGCTGTTATTGGATACGCGAAACCATTAAGAAAATAATTGATATAATTGAATAATGATTAATCTATATAACTATTAACCGATTATTATTGTTTTCAAGACAATTGTAACAGTTAAGGCCAGTTGTACCGTCTACGATTAAACTATGATTAAGCTTAATCAGCTGATAACAGATATTTAAACGGGCAAATTCGACCGATTAAACTCTGATTAATCATTATCATAGACTGTATAACTGGCCCTAAGAAAAAATATGGTATATCATCCAGCCCAAAAACATATATATCTTTAAAATAAAAAAACCAGTATCCAAAGTTATTCCAGTTATGTACTACCTCTTGGTGCATAATAATGACCTCTACCCTCACCATATCCATGAGCTGGAACTCTACTTGATCTAGGTTGTGACACATATGTTTGAGGATTGTTCCGCTGTATAAAAACATAGTTTTAGTTTTAAGTACAATACAATAGTTACATCAATAAATTACCATTCTACGTAAGGTTGTAATGGGTCGTCTTAATGTTTCACTAAATCTCCGAGCAGGGGTTTTCTTAGGATTTGAAGATGGCGTGTGTACTGCACAACATTTTATAAACACTCCCATTATAATTACAAATGTAACACCCATGAGCATACAAGCCCACCAATTTTCCTAAAAATAAAAAAAACAATTAAATAAATTGTATAAGTCAATGCTAGTTACTCTCGTAACTAGTATACTTTGTTGATAATGTATTAATGTAATTGTATTTCAAATTAAGAAACATTAACTTTCTATTTTAATAGGAAACATTTGAACTGATAACTTACTAAAGCCCATTGTTGGAGAGTTTGAAGTGTTTGTTTGTTGAGGAGCATATTTTTTAATCTTGCTAATGGCCCCTCGGCATCAACTGCTCTACATTTGTAAAATACATCACAGTAACCCTAAAGAAATTATATTATTAAGCAATTTCATAAATATGAAAAAATGTATAATAGTTGCTAATTTACTTGAAAATTATCACAAGGTGATCCTGGTCTTAGACTAATGCCACCGAGAGGTAAATTAACTGCAGCAGCAAATTCACTAGTTGACCTGCATGTTTGTAAATCAGTACCATTCATACAAGCCAACTCGCACAACTTGCGTTTGTCAATATTTGGTATAATTTGTGATGTCAAAAAACATTCGTTTAGACCCCATTCCAAACAAATAGATCCAGTACAATCACCATTGATGCAAAGCTTAAAAAAAAAAAAAAAAATTAACTCAAGCTTATTAACAGCTGTCAGCTTTATTTACTAACCTGTGTCCCTTCATTACAACGAGTTTTATTTGGCTTAGGAGGTGGTACTGGACATTCGGGTGTGGTACCATCACAATTAGAACTATAACTACAAACATCTTCACCACGGCACATAACTTGTCGATTAGATGGAATAAAACGGCAAGTATCAGCATAACAGCAGGGTCCTTGGGACGGACTAAAAATGTAATATTATTAAAATAAAACCAAAGTTATTATAATTAATAGATTCAATGTCACATACCTGCACTCAGTTTGTGCTCGACGAGCACAACCTCTAGCTGAGATGTTACGGAATCTATCTCGATCAGCAACTTGCCTGGGATAGCAGCATTTATCATCACATTCATCATCATCATATCCACAATCACATTCTTCACCATTTTCAACAATTTTGTTACCACAAAATGCTCCTTCACTGGCTGTATAAGTAATTATAGTTAATATTTAATTATTACAGATAAAGTTTTTATATAAACCTTTAAAGCAATTCCTTTTTTTATTATCTTGTATAGCATCTAATACACTACTGATATTAGCTATACTGCATGAAGAAAATTTACTGTTGTTTGGACGATCACCACTAGTTGCAGATGCAAACATGATATAATTACCACTCAAACCACCTGGCCGACAATCTGAAGGATAGTCATGCTGTAAAAATACATTTTTAAAAACATGGACAATTTTCATTTAAATGCGTTTTACAAACCGGCGATCCAAAATTATGGCCAATTTCATGGGCCAAGGTCAACTGTGAAACTTTGGGTGGCACTCTACTATTGTAGTTAACAAATGTAATAATACCTGTGTTTAAACTACGTTTAGTTGATTGATATAAACCACCAATAGTTTCTGTATATGTTTTATACTTTTCACAAATGCCACCAGATGCACCTGATGAAAAATAAAATAAATATCATAGAATCAAAACTCTAAATCCTTTTCAAATCAAAAATAAATCAACATTCTATTAGGTAAGAAATAAACTTAATTACCAGATGCACTGGCAACCCAAGCTAGACCTAAGGTTCCTCCGGTGAAGTCTCTATAGGTAAAAACATATGCTAGGCAAAAGTCTTCGTGGTTTCCCAATGAATGAAGGTTTAAAAAATTACTAACATCAATATTTTCCATGCAGAATGGATTTTGTTCTCCAGTCCATTTATGGTCACAAGGTTCATCATCATCAATCTAAACAAAAATAGTAATACAATAGTAACTTATAGCTTAATTATTTCAGAAACATTTTTAAGAACTATTAAAAATGCATTTACATCAAAAATATAGTACTAAGAAAAATGTATATCTATACTCTGTTCAAAATAAGACTGTGATCAGGCGGCAGTCAGACTGGCCAGATGCCGTCCCCACTACGGCGACGCATTGAGCGCTGCCACGGAACAAAGCCACGCCCATACACACAACTCAGCCGCCTGGTCACTGTCTTATTTTGAATAGAGTATACATATAAATTCAAATATTTACTTTAATTCTTTGAACTTCAAATTTAATATTCCTGTGTTCAATGCGCCCATCAAATTTAGTATCTCGGTAGATATAATTCACTGCAGTTACATGATGCGCTATTAATGATAATATCTCTTCTCTTGTCTTTGTTTTATCATAGCCATCCTATATAAGAGTATTTATTAGAAAAAAAAATTTTCAAAAATATAGTTGTGTTAATTAAATACTTGTTCTTTTATGTGTTTCCATAATAAAGGGTCAGTTTGGATAAATAATGAACAAGTGTTGCGTTCTTCTTTAGGTTTAGTAGCACGTTTTGTTCTAACAGGTCCATGGTGGTGCTTGTCAGCTGCTTGTCTTGTGTATTTATAAGCAGGTCTTTCTTCATCTTGTTGTTGAATATTCCACGGATTACCAGAATATTGGATGGTTTCCATACTTTGTTTTGTGGATCCTGTAACTCCACATCCACTAAAATGACCTGAAATAATTTAACAACAATACAAGGTTATATTTGTATTCAAATTTAGTAACATTAATTTATACTGCTTACTAGAAGAGTTATGATATGGATTATCAACATCATTTTCTTTATAGATAACCGAATGGAAATTATCACTGTCATTAAGATGACCATGGGGATAAATATATTTTCTAGATTTTTCTATAAAATAGTTTCCTTTTTTTGGTGATATAATTTGTCCTTCAAAAACTCCATCAGTTATTGAACCAAATACTATACTGTTTGCTTCATCTGTTCAAAAATAAAAACGAAATTGTAGAAGATTTTATGAAAGATTATAAACCTACTACCTACTATAAAATACCAATATTTTATTTTCATATTACATTTTATAAATTAAAAATCAACAGTTTATTTAAGACATTAAAACTTATCAGTTTGTAGTTATTAGGAAGTATTAAAACTAAACAATGAGTAGTAATAATTTAGAATTTTTATTATCTAGATTTTTAACAAATAAGAATCAAATCTTTATTAATTGTAAAGTATTTGAATTATAATTATTTAAATTAGTAAATTTTGTAATAATTATACCCATTACATTAAAAAAGTATACAACTGTTTATAACCTTGCATAAGTATACAACTGTATATTATAACCTTGCTAGTTGCTATATATCTAAATATTAAAATTGTGTAGGTATAACTTAAGAAGACATAATACCTGAATGTGTTGTTTAAAATAAGGAACATCATAGAAAATTTTTGCGTTAAACAGAACCAATTTGGTATTACCTTAGTGAATTGACTTATTTCAGTATTTAAAGGTAAGAATATTCACTACTAACTAGGTTTCAAAATCAGGTTTTTACAATTTTTTTTTATATCTAAGAGTTATGTACGATGAGCATTTTAAAATTGCTATATTTTATTCATAACTTATTTAAAAACTGAAGCAAGGTAATAAACTAACATAAAAACACAGATGTTCTTACCTCAGTTTGATAGTATTAACTCTTATATCAAAGCTAACAACAACAAAAATGGGTTCTGCTAAATGCAAATTTAGTATGTTGTATATTTTTAAGACAGAGACAACACATCCTGGTATGACATCCTCTATGTTAAACAATTATGAATTATCACAACATAAACACTTACAGGTATATTGTACTTATATGTAATTATTTACATTACCGACTGTAAACATAATGAATGTTTAAAAATAGTTATAATGGTTAAACTATTTATTTATTAATAAAGAATTGTACATTTGGTACATACATTTATATTTAATATAAAATTGGGCTATACCTATTTAATTGGCAAAATGTACATCCTACACTAAAAATTAATTCATACTATAGTGAGTAGTTATTCTAGTTAGTCTAAGATATTTTAAATCAAAATTTAAAAATACAATGAATTACATAAATAAAAGTTCAATTATTTATTAATCCATTTTCCAAACAAAATAACACTCTTTTAAATACATAATAATATGGATAATACCATATTATAGTACCTATGCTGTATAAGTATAACTACTATTTTTCAGTACTTAAAAATGTCAACTTTATTACTAAAAGAACATTATAAAAACATGACAATTCAATGACTAAAATTAATTATTTTCTTAAGTAACCAATAATAACAACAAAATTGGCAATCAAACTAAGGCAATCATATTTCAACTATACTACACAGCTACAATTATAATATGTATCCATTTAAAATAATATCTATAGTATGGATAATCTATATGGGTACAAGCTTATTATTACTTACTTGCGGTTTATTTTTTAAAGTAAAATCTCTAGATAATTAAGAAATGTTTTAAATTAAAATAAGATATTTTGGAAATATGTTAACAACACTATTAGGAACAAATATTAATTTTAAATTAATGGAAACAATCAAATATCAACTTACCGACAATATGTCCATGGTATATATGTGAAGTATCAATACTATTAGGATGTATTTGATTGCCAAAACTATCTAACACTTCCATGGCATTTGAAAATGTTTCGACATCTCGACGAAGTCTGAGTTGAAAGTGATGGCCATGCGCTTTAAATGTTACATGCACATTACTGTCACTATTAGTCACTGATCGTTTGGCCCTATCATGACTCTGGGCCAAGTGTTGATGATCATATGTAACAGGCTCATAATGTGACACGTATTGGCTGAGACGCTTACCTAACATTAAAAAGATATGTAATCTAAATCAAAAATAGAACCATGTATATAGAGTTTACCTTGAATATTACTGGTGATTATCAAGAGCACAACGGCCGAATAGCTGAGTGTATACATGCTAATAGAATTATAAAATATTTGATCACAGGCATAAAATTTGGCTTTTTTTACATTTAATAATTAGTTACAATTTTTGAGGTATCAAAATGGAATAATGATTTTTTTTTAATAAGTTAATAATACAATAAATAAAATGATCAAGAAAATGACAATTTCCGGATTTCCATTTTTGACAGGCCTCCAGTAAAAATATTCTTTTGTTTTATTGTTATTCTTTTTTTGCGATAATAACAAAAAAAAAAAATAGATAAAACTGTACAGTATCGCCATTACAATAATAATGCAAGTCCCGTTGTATTTGCATCTCGTTAATATTGTAAAACTTATAATAACATTTAAGTTTAAATTAAATCTTTTTCACCTTTAAACTTCATTAATTAGCATTCAAATCATTTGTGCTGAGATGATTTCAGTCTATAATTTAAATGGATGTTTTTTTATCAATATCTCAAAAGTTGTATCGATAAAACATATCGTACGATTTCCTTCCATTGGCCACATTGGCTTGTTGGGGCTGATGCAACATTTTTCCACACACATCACGTCTACATCAGTATTTAGTTGTCACATTTTTGCCTTAATTCGTCCGATAGTTAACTCGACATTTAATTAATTTCATATTATATAAAATATTATTTAAGGGGTCTTTACATTTAAAATGACTGAAGAAGAAGCTGTAAGTATGATAATGTGTACCTTAATAATGTTTTTATTTATAATCTGCCGTTCTCTATGTTAAACGTTGTCTATAATTCAATCATTGGTCAAAAATCTAAACAATCTAAATATGAATTACCACATGAGTGTTATTTTTTGATATAATACAACTTAACTATATTGTTCATTCTTGTCTTTTTAATCATAGTTTAAATAAATATTTTTGATGTTTAGATAAGTATCAAAAATCTATTTTTTTCCTAAACTTAAATTAATATTTTTACTAAATGTATGCTTTTGGAAAATGGTTTCAATGCGTATCATTGAAAGTTATATGTTTCGACCCCAAAAGTATAGTGTTTATCACTTACAGTTTAAATGTAATTGAGATGTTCTACTTCTAAGAAGAGAACTATGTACCTTTATTGTGTGTATTATTATTATTATTATTATTATTATGTCTATTAGTTATTTGATAATCATTGCAATTCATTACATTAACTCATTAAATATATTTATAATTTTTAGTTATTTGATCCTTCCATCAAGAAGAAGAAGAAGAAGAAGAAGTTTGACTTAGACAGTGCTTTAGCTTCTGAAACTGGTGTTGATGGTATTAATGAACAGACATTAGATAAAGAAAACCAGGAACCAGGGCCAGACCCTGATGAATTTGATGGTAATTATTTATATATTATTATCTATTATTGAGAACTATTAATATTTTTAATTTGAGATTTCATTTATACCTAATAAAAATTTGAAACTATTAAGTATTGTATGTAAAAATATAGCTGAACTATAAAGATATGTAGTCAAATATTATTTTATCAGTTTATACTTTCAATTAATTTGACATTGTATTTATGTATTGATATATATATATATATATGATATTACTAGTTTGACTCGTATTCTGATGAATCTTTTACTTGAATTGACATAATAAATGTAAAAATTCTATCGTACATTTGCTATAATTTGTACTTTAATTTATAGTATTATATGCCACTGTTCTTACTAATGATGTTATTTATAAATTTAAAAAGATTTATGTAATTTGTATTTACAGATGGAAACCTGGATCTTGACAACTTCGGTAAGAAAAAGAAAAAGAAAAAAAAGGTCACAATAAATTTAGATGATTTGGAAAGTGCATTACCTGATACATCATCAGCAATGGAAAATGGTGATGGCCAAGGAGAGGCTATGGATGTAAGTTTTTCTTTTTTCCTTTATAAATGTTTTATTTATTTACTATTTTTTTTGTTATTGCAGGATGATTTTGATTTAAATATGGACTTTTCAAAAACAAAAAAGAAAAAGAAAAAGAAGAAGGATATAGATGAATTAGTTGCTGAAGAAATGGATAAGAAAGGTGACAAATTTGATGACAGTAAGTATTTTCCACTTTTTCATTTAATAAGGTTGACAATCCTTTATATGATTTTATTAAAATTTACATGCTTTAACGATGGCCAGTGGAATTTTGAGTCTGGTAAGGGTTTTGATAAGGTTAAAGTTATTGTGTAGAGAACTTTTTTATTTAATCTGAACTCACTACCTATTAGCATTTCTACAATAATGATTTCTGCAGCCAATTAAAATGTTCCGTATTTCAAACGGTAGATATATTCTCAATCAATATCCCAAAATTAGAATATGCATAATACAAATTAAATAGTTTAGTAAACTATAAGTTAGGTGGGTATACTCTACACTTAATTTAATAAACCTTTTAAGACCAATTGGGCTCAAAAACCCATAAAATGTAATAAATAACAATAGTAATTTAATGACAACTTCATACATGTATTGTTTATTTTGATGAATAAATATAGTGTATGTTCATTTTTCATATATTGATAATGTTGACTGAGACATAATTTTCGAATTTTGTTAGTTCTCTGTTGTAAATTTTTAATTATTATACAAAAGCGAAAAATTTTTAAATTAAATCAGTCACTGTTATGTAACATGGATATTATTATACTGTTATTAAATTCAACAATATATTTTTTTATTTTCCAGCAACTGATGGTGAAAGTCACACGTGGTTTGGTTCTGATCGTGATTACACATATGATGAACTTTTAACTAGAGTATTTGAGATAATGCGAGAAAAAAATCCTGATATGGTTGCGGGTAAAAAACAAAAATTTGTTATGCGCCCTCCACAAGTAGTTCGGATAGGTACCAAAAAAACGTCTTTTGCAAACTTTACAGAAATATGCAAAACGTAAGAATATATTTTGAATGCTTGATTTTAAGATAATATGTTTTAATAGTATATTTATTGTTTAGCTTACATCGTCAGCCAAAACATTTGTTAGATTTCTTGTTAGCTGAATTAGGTACCAGTGGTTCAGTGGACGGTAATAGCCAGCTTATAATCAAAGGTCGTTTTCAGCAAAAACAAATTGAAAATGTACTCAGAAGATATATAAAAGAATATGTTACCTGTCATACATGTCGTTCACCTGAAACCATCTTGCAGAAAGACACTCGTCTGTTTTTCTTGCAGTGTGAAACTTGTGGTTCACGATGTTCTGTTGCCAGTATTAAGTCTGGTTTCCAGGTAAAAAATATACACATTATTATTATTGTTTATTTTTTTTTAGTAGTAAATCTTTCTATTAATTTTATTATTAAACACTTAAACCCCCGCTTAAACCTATTTCATTAAGTACAGATACTAAACTTAATGATTTACCTCAATTTCATAACAAACTTAATAAAACAAACAATAGAATATTTTATCACTGAATAAGGTGTTCAGTTAAAAGCTAATATTACAATTAGGCCTTCGTTGAGCTTGTAGCCTACCTGAAAGTTTTAGATGTAGTGAGTAGACCTACTGAGAAAAAATACAATTAATTTTGGTAGTAAAAAATGTATTCAAAATTTAAAATAACAATATGTAATTAATATACAGGGTGTTGCACGATAAATGTGTCAAACTTCTAGAGGTGTTTCTACACCTCTAATGGAACAAAAAAAGTCCTTATGACCATAATCAAATTATCAATAATAAGGGTGATAATTTCCATGTTTGTATTTTTTTGGTTAAACTCAAGTTTCATTCATAATAATGTTAATATCTGCTAAACCTTAGGTACTACAATTAATTTGAATACATTGATGACAAGCTCATCAAATTGGGATTAGGAAAACATATCTTACAAGGTTCCCACCTGATTTTTGGGTAAAAAGAATAACACAAATTTTTTATAACTTTAAAATGTCAAAATTTTAAAAAAATTCAGTTTTATCTAACAGTTATTTTTTAAAGCAAGGGTCATAAGGACTTTTTTTGTTCCATTTGAGGTGTAGAAACACCTCTAGAAGTTAGACACATTTATCGTGCAATACTCTGTATAGAGCTTACATTTTTTTTATATCTTCCAAAAAATGTATGAACAAATTATTAGAATTTGTTATTTTTAATTTAGTAGTACCAATATTCAGCTTAATAGCATGTCAATAGATTTCTATTGGTTCCTTGCATTTTTTATTAAGATCTTGAATTTTATTATTTTAATATTGACCATAAAAATTCAATTGTTTCTGTATTTAGCTCCATTTAATGGATTTACTAAATGTTTTGAATGATTGACAGTTAAATAAATATAGCCAATATCTTTCAGACCGTTGTGATTTTCATTCATTTAATAGAAGAATATTCCCAGCTAAACTTTTCTTTAGATAATTGAAGGAATTAATATATTTTTATCTCAGTTCTTAAAAAATTACAGTAGGTCATACGTTAAACGAATACCTAAAATTCTTGCCCATAATATCTGGTATCTACTAATTGAAACATTTAATTGTTTAAGTTTTGGTAAATTTTAGACTGAATCAGTTCAATAATTAATAATTTTTTTGCTATTCATTAAAATATTCTACGAATTTAATACTTATTGTAATTTTTTTTATTTTTTTACAGGCCGTCACTGGAAAACGTGCAGCTATCAGAGCAAAAACTGCATAAATACTATAATATATTTTCTCTTGCGTGCTATACTAGTTCAGCAAAATATAATAAAATAAATATCACATTTTTACAAATTTCAAAAATATGTTCTTATTATATGATAAACATTCATTCTAATAATCCCTACAGATATTAAAACAATCTAAAATTTGTTTTCCAAATGTTTATATTGCCTAGTTCCATCTGTTTATTGAAACACATTTAAAAAATTTTAAAGCAGACTTTTTATAACCATTTTGAAGTTATATTATATTATACAAAATTAAACATAGTTAAATGCTTTTTTAGCTTATGTCTTTCAATAATTTACTTCTATATTTAATATTTATGTAAACTACATTATTATTAAAACTTTTGTAAATGGGACTGAACTAATAACAGAGAAATAATTAAAATTTGTATTTATTTTGAGTGAAAATTATAGTAGATAATTTTGAAATAATTTTTGTTTTTGTTTTTATTAGAATTTAATAACTTAAGAGGCTACACTCACATGTTTGTTTCTCTCTTACAATTGTATAACAGACTACATTAAAAATTTGCGTTGAACAGTTCTAATTCTGTGTACTAAGCGTATTAATTAACTTGAATGAATTGAGCTATTATCAAAATTAAAGGTACAAATATTATCTATACTTTTCAATTTCTTTATGGGTTTCTACCATATTTTAATTTTCAAGCAATAATTTAAAACTGTTCATAACTTGCTTAAAAATTAAAATATTGTAAAAATAAAATAATGAGAAAGTTTAGATAATGTTCTTACATTGAAGTTTGATAATAGGTGAATTTTCTCTATTATTAATAGTTATTACATAACATTTGTTCTTTTTAAAAATGATTTAATATGTCATACCTACGTTTGTAACACGGGAAAACACATGCGAATTTGGCGTCATCTTGAATTTTATAAAATTATTTTATGACAGTGTAGTCAGTATAGAGCATTTTTGTTCAATAATTTATTACTTTTATGATCAGGATAGACGGATAGTCGTAAAATGATTCTCACATTTTTAATTACAATTCTTTTTTTGTTCTGGTTTTCACACTATGTTTGGCAATAGATCAGTATAGTAAATTAATTAATTTGCATTCATACTATAATATAGAGTAAATCTTGACTTATTTTTTTTTATAAATTTAAAGTTGTATCTTGTATACATATAAGAAAACAAATGAAATTACGTTAATGTTTGTATTTTTGAAAAAAAGATTTATTATGTAGGTAAAGACACGTTTCTGTCAACTGTTAAATAGTTTACCACGGTATATTGATCCACTTGAAAATGTATCCCAGTTAGCGGGTAAATAGTCACGACATCCTAAATATTATTATTTAATCATAGTTTATCTAGCTGCAGTATTAGATTTCTAAATTCCATATAAAGGTATAAGTATTTTTTATTTTATAATTCAATATTATTAATTTGTAGAACAGTGGCGACGGCCTACCGTAAAATCTTCTCGGCCCCCGGCTGGCCCACCCATGTAATTTTGAAAATGTATGTTATATTTTTCTCAAGAAGTGTTGCAAATTGGGGATTTATTATGGCTTTACTCAGTAACATATCGAAGAGAAAGAGGGTTATGGAAGTTTTAAAAATTAGCTAGTATTACAGTCAATAGTGACCTTTATTTTGTATTAACCTGTAATTGTAAGTTGTTAACACCCGATAGGTAGGTAAGGAAAATTTTTTTCCGCCACTGACCTTGTTTTAAATCAGTGGCCCCAGCTTAGCCCACCCAGACAAAAAAATCTGGTGCCGCCACTATTGTAGGAACTCATTGGTTTTTGGTGTTTTTATATTTTTATCTGTTTTGTAGAAGAGGAGTGCCTATTTCAAATTTTCGAAAATGATGTCGTATCGATTAAATATTGTAAGTAATATCCACAGATATATAAAAATATATTTTTAAATATCATTATACTATGTAATTTCAATGATAATAAGGATACTCGGGTGAAATGAATTATTTTAATTCCAACTTACTGTTGTATTTAATCAGGTGATATGGATTTTGAAAACAAATTTGGATAGGTATACACTATGCAAAACTTGAATTTAAAAATTGTCTATATATGTACGTATTTTTGTGTATTCAACAGCGGATTACACTAATTCAGTTAAATAAAATAGAAAAAGTTGTTCGTAGGGTCCAGATTAAATATTTAAACTTTCAAATTTGTTTTCAATATCTAAATCGCTAAATTGATATGATGGAATGAAAATTTATCAATTCTGCGGTGAAATAATTTATGTTTATCAGTGGCGTATATAAGGGGTGGGCACAGTGGGCTGCAGCCCCCCGAAAATACAGTCTTTTTAAATAGAACAACAATATATTTTATTAGGTACCAGTGGCGTAAATTGGGTCCAATTTCTGGTGGTGCAGAGCCATATTCTTAACCTATAATTTCCAACACAAAAATAATCCAACTTTCTAAGTAAAATCCTTCCTAACAAAAAAAAAAACTATATATTTATCCATACGTTTTGTCAACATTTGAACTTCAAATGCTTATAAAAAAAAATTGTGGCTATGTATTTTTAATATTTTTCAACGCTATTGTAACAATATATCAGGAGCCTTCCATTAAATTTTCAAGCTTTTTACCCAACAAATAACATTATATTGATATTTATAGAAAAAAAAAACTAAAAAAATTAAAAAATGACAATGTCCGGAAACAGCTCAAAGAGAGTTAAAATATTTTCAAAACTTTGTGGTGTATAGAAAATTAAAATATAAATATTATATAAATTTTCATGTACCTATTTTACAGTTATTTGTTTGAATAACAACAAATTAACAAAATCGCTACATGAGAAATCTAGTGAATATCCAATCTTGTAAAAATATGAATTTCAAATGCTCATAAAAATTTAATTTGATTTACTTGTGGACATTTTTTTTTTGATAAAGGCGTTACAAACTTATGAATAATCTTGTATTACATTTTAAAATCTTAGATTTGAAAAGAAACATTTTTATGATTTTTTCAACTCAAATTATATTGTTAATATTCGTGATTTTTCTGTATTTTGTCAAGATTTGAACTTTAAATGCTTATAAAAAAACTGTGACTAAGGATTTTTAATAATTTTCTAATGTCATTGTAACAATATAGTTGGAGCCTTGTATTAAATTTCCAAGCTTTTTTACCCAACCAGTGAATATTTCAATTATATATGTACATGTGTATATGTTCATTTGTTTGGTCAAAAATCAAAATCGATTTTGTCGAAAACCGATTTTGGGTAAAAATTCCTGTTTTTCCTTAATTTTTATGTTGTTTTTCCTGGCGCTTATGAAACCTGTAGAGAATTTTAAAATTTGATTCAATACGACGTCTAGCTGTCATCTGACATTTGACTTTTGAGAATTGAATGAACATTGATCCAGTGATAAGTGATAACACACTATTTTGGTAAAAAGTTGATAGCAATATAATTTTACCATATTATACGCACAGAACAAATTCTGTGTTATACGTCTATTCTGTGCACGATTAAAGATATAGGTAATATCTTTAATCGTGATTCTGTGATACTGCCATAATAAAATACAAAATTCTGTGGATAGTGGTTACCATAGATAATAATCTAACTATTTATGGGGGTTGTACGATATTTTAGAATATAGATATTAGATAGGGTAATAATTTAAATGATAATGTCTAATACATGCACGAAAATAACTATTTTGTACCTCTTTATATATTATATATTTCAATGATTTTCTGGTGGTGCAAAAACATACCTTTGCACCACCCAGTTTACGCCACTGTTAGGTACTATTATAAGTTTTAATATTTTTTTCATAGCCTGTTGAAAAATAACAAATACGAATATATTAATTATAGAAACTGTTAAATATATAGTAGACAGTAGCCTCTAAGTAATAGATCATTTGCTAGTTTCTGTCTACTATAGCCCACCCCAAAAATTATTTCTATATACGCCACTGATGCTTATAATATCCTTATGTGACAATACGAAATCCTGACGTGAGCGGCCGAGAACAAGACGGGTCCCAACGGCCATCATAATTCAACCATAAGAAATAACTAATAAGTAGTAATGCAGACATTCCTTATAATATGAATGCAACAAGTAACAACATTATCACACACTAATGATCATTTATTACGCACACACTACCACTGCTACCAGAACTTATTACTATTGCCTATACAAAACTCCTTACAAACAGTGCATCTCGAGGTCATTTAAGTAGGTACCTACTTCCGTACTTCTACGATTAATAAAATATTTATAACCTATCTGCTGTATTGCCTGTATTTGCTCATAGGCACTAACTATTATTTTGGTTAAATATTTTGTATCAAATTATCAAAAATTATCTCGCCGTAGATAACCCAATAATAAAGAAAATTTGAAATTGTATACAATTATATATCTCACTAATTGTATCACTTCACTAATTATTAAGAGTACAATAAATATTAGTAGGTAAATGTATATTTATCAAATTTAGATATGGCCTGTAAATATTAAATACTAATAGCCAATAGGGAAAAATAAACAAATACCTACTTGTGATTAACAATAATTGAAAAAATATAATTGTTATATGAATAACTTTTGATCCATACCTAATAGAAAAATAGCATGATTTTTATTTTTTACTAATAATTAAAAATTAAGTTATACCCATATTAAATTAAATCATACATTTATTTAATGGGTAAAATATATAACTTTTTTTCTATCATCTATATAGGTACCAACGACAATACTATTGAAACAAAAAATATTCGTTTACTAACCTTTTTAAAATGCGAATTTTGGAAAAATCTGATTACAATTTTTTGGAGAGCATAATATTTATGACGGTTTTAATAATCTTTTTAATTGGTCGTCAACTTTACTGCTTACTATATAGACGACATCGTCCTAAACTTTAGGGAAATATTATTATCATGATGAACTAACAAAACAAACGAATAAAAGTTTATATAGGTATTTTTA